GCCCTGTGATGGACTTGCGACCCGTCCAGGGTGTACCCCGCCCCTCGCACAGTGATTGCTGGACATGGGCACCAGCGACCCCCGTGACCCAAAATGGAATAAACGGGTAAAGAAAATGGATGGATGGATGGATGGATATTTATGGGGGGGAATGGTGGCACAGAGGGCAGAGAAGGCGAGCATGTGTTCAGAAGGTCATCAGTTTGACTCCTCTGGACCGACAACATCAAAATGTGGGTGGGAAAGGTGAAGCACTCATACATGCCTACACCCTCATTTGCCCTATTATGGGCCCTCGAGCAAGGCCCTCATCCCCCACCATCTTCTCCCCCGAACACCCCACTCTGCTCCACACAAAGGGCTGTGGGTAGAGGGTTGTTTTTTTTTCTTCTTTAATTCTGTTTCTGTCTGTGGAAAATCTGAGCTCTGAATGAATGTCCTAAAACAAACATAATTTGTAATTTGCTTGTCTGAGGCTACAACAGAAAAAGATGTCACCTGCTGAAACCACACAGCTGATAAGCTAACCACCAGTCTGCATCTGATTAATTGCTTCTTTTGAACTGTGATTCACACATTTGATTATTATCTCTCACAGACTCCTTTCACCAAGCCATCATAGTAGAAAGCTTTTCTTAATTTTTTTAAAATAACTAACAAAGTAAAGATGCTTTAATAGAGTTTACCTTTGCTGACTGTCGCAGTGAGTGCAAACAAAACAAATCCATGCAGTGATCTCGAGTGTTTAAAAGTTTCCATGAGGTGAAGCAGAAAGTCTAGACAGATAGCTCCTTCAGTTCAAGGGAGTCCATGTAGGCAACCTGCCTTCACGTAACTCTGTTGTCTTTCTCAGAAATGTCACAGTATCACATCTCAGCTTATATATGAGTTAGAGCAAAACCACAACTGTCAAGGGTGGGGGGAGGTTTTGTATTCGTCACACGAACACAAAGTTCTGGTGCAGTCTCACAGCAGCCGTTCTTCTCTGTGCAACTCTTTGATGTCATTTTTATTTTTCATGTTCATTTAACTACAGTTGATTTTCTCTTTGTGCTTTCCATCAACAAAACTTTGGAGGAAATTCTGGGAACTACAGCAAACAAATGCACACACCTACATGTCAAGTAATGTGTCAATGGAGAGAGACACTTGCATACCCTGATGAACCTGAAAGAGGAGGGAAACTACTCACTTTTCTCATTTTTGCTGGATTCTTAAGACAATGAACAAACACTATCACCTGGACTTATGTTTGATCTGTTTTATCAGTCTATAGTTTAAAGGGTAAGTTTGTCACCAAGTATTTTCTCTTCAATTCACATGAAAAGATGAATACTCATAATTCACCTATGAGTCATATACTCAGAGTTAGAAAATTCCTGAAACAAACCATCATGATTATTTATCAAATATGACAACCCTGGAATTTTTCGCAGCATGAGCTCTAAAGTATCTAAATTACCATAGATGGAGATTTGATAGAATTTGTTTAATTTAATTGATAATGTCTTCAGATAAAAATTATTTTAAAAAAGGTAAAAAAAATATTTTACTCAAGTGTGAAGAAATAATTTGGAAGCCAAGAGCAAATGCACTGCCATTGTTAACTTAATGGGATTTTCTCAAGATCACTAACCAAGCTGTTTATATCTCAACAGATTGTGCTTTATTTTTCTTGAGAAAGGTAAGTCACTTTGTTTTCTAAAGAAAACAAGATGCAAAACTGTGAGTTTATTGTGCTACACCCAGTTACATGGATCAATATTGATGCTCGATCACCTCGCAATAATCTATAACAGTAATGTGCCCATCAATAATGAATCCTTGGTGACGTTCTTACCTTAAATCAGTTCCCTGCATGACTGTTGTAACTATTGCCTACTGCATAAGGAGTAAAGTGATAATGTGTGGATGTGCATTTGTCTGTAGTAGTAGCTGGAAATAGAAAACAGCCATGAGGGAACACAAGCCAGTGTATATCTTATGCCAGTCACAAGCCTGGGAAAATGGTGAGGGTTGGGTCAGGAAGTGTCATTTTTGCAGAGCAAAAAGGAAGAAGCAGGTAAATATAATGGATGGCTGGATGGATGGCTGATGGCTGGCTGGCTGGTTGGATGGATGGATGGATGGATGGATGGATGGATGCATGCATGGATGATGGATGGAAGGATGCATGCATGGATGATGGATGGAAGGATGCATGCATGGATGATGGCTGGATGGATGGATGGATGGATGGATGGATGAATGGATGATGGCTGGATGGATGACTGGATGCATGATGGATGGATGGATGCATGGATGCATGATGGATGGATGGATGGATGGATGGATGGATGGATGGATGGATGG